ATTTTCGTACTATGGGAGCAATGGTGTCTCACTCTGGGAGCAATTTCGCAATTGGCACTTTTGACAGTGAGAGATTATCCAATATTCACCCTACTTAAGTTAACAGACGTTTTACTTAGTGGAATTTACCTCAGCTCATGGATGGTGGGACCCGACAGAACCAAATGGCCTTATCGTTTTATTTTCAAAATTGAATGTATCGTGAAGCAGGAGTTGCCACCACCACCCCTTTGAACGGTGGGCGTGCTCATTAAAGCACGGAGGAGATGCAACGTCACCAAACGCTGGTATTGCTAACAGCAGCTACTTTAAGATTTCCATGAATATGAATACAACAATAATTGACTGGATTATGTTGGTATGATTTTTTCAAAAGTATATTAACCTACTCTCGGGATACTTTAGGTGTTATTTGGAAAGTGCAAATTATGGAGCGAACTAGGAGCACAAAATGAGACGCTGAGTCAGCAGGGTGGACAGGTTCAGTTTTCGACCAACTCTATGAAATTGATGATTATGAGGACATGGCTATATAACCATGACATACTTATCAAAAACAACAGGGGTCAGACATCCAGTAGCAAATTGACCCTTTGATCACTTCTAGTTATTACAAGAACTAGGCTGAGACTATTCTTGTCCTTCAAAGATAAGGAGCCCTTCCCTGTCCGCACAGCGGGACGGTTGACCGTCTTACTTAAGTCCCATTCGAGTCCCGCCGGGACTCCTTTGTTAACCACCGTCCCATTGGGGTCCTATTTGAGTCCCGTCGGGACTGTACATAATTAAATTTAATGTAATAAGAAAAATGAACCGAATGAAATACTGGAATGATAAATTAAATGCCGAAAACCAATAAAATTATGTATCTTAATACTGGTTAAATCAGCTCGCAGTTTGTTTAAATGAACTAAGTTCACATGCGTATGTTCAGCGGCGCTCGCCATTATTCATCATGTCAGATTTTAATCCCCGTGGTTCTTCTAGGTGGTCACTACGAAGATGTGTTAAATCAAATTTACCAGCAACGTTTTCACTAAGCATTGAACAATAGATTACAGATTGTGAAAACAGATCTCCCGTAAATCATTACGATCAGTTTTATGGGCAATATTTATCATTTCGTGCGTTATTTATAATAGTCAACCAATTGGTTTCCCACGAAGATGCTTCAGTGTCTAGTAAGTGTGAAATGCAATTTGCGTAACAGTCTCATGACTGTGAGTTCAATCGTTATTGGATATAAATTATTTTTGGTGCTGTCTTAAGTGCTGCTGAAATGCATGTTAGTGATCCACAATGTTTACCAACTGCAAATGCCACGGACACATGTAGGCGAATTGCCGCTAAGGGCATATGCAATCAAAGTAACAATTCGGGAATTACGTTTTACTGCATCCCGAATTACCAAAGGAAAGCCCTACGTTGTTCAGGACTTCGCGAGTGACCTGCAGACGTACATTACAAGAAGGCCAATACTTACACTTCAATCTATTATCCTGCCTGCTTCAAAACCTTGATCATGAAAAAGCTGAGCTCAAGGACTCGTTGTATTTACAGGTTAACATCTACGGCATGATGATTTTTCGCAGTTCCCGTTTGCAAATGTGGCCCATTCTGTGTCGCGTTATGAGTTTGAACACAAACGTGTTCCCTGTAGGTTTATTTTTGCGGAAATTGGAAGCCGGTTAATGTGCACGAGTTTTTAAACGAATTTGTCTCGGACGTTTTGGATAAATTGAAATCCGGTTTATTTCTGGAAGATGGACGAATTATTCCCATAATAGTGCACAGTATTGGGTGCGATCCCCCAGCACGGGCATAAAGAAAGTGAAGCAACACTCAGGCTGCTTTAGTTGCGATGGATGCGAAGTTGCTGGTGTTTATCAAAGCGAGAAAATGACATTTCCTCTGTCTCCAAGTGCGCTACATACCAACTTCAGCTTTCATAGTCTAAAACAAGAGGAACACTAGACTGGTAATTTACCTCTGGAGTTGTTACCGATTGAGATCGTTCGCCAGTTTCCCACTGATTATATGCATTGTGTGTGTTTAGGTTTAATTGATCTATGGCTCACCGAACCAATTAAAACTGGTATATGTTTGTCTTCCAATCATTTTCTTCGAATGAACCCCATTATGACTGCTTGTGCCCGTCAACCATCCAGTGAATTTCCCCGCAAGTGTCGGGATTTTAAAGACTACGAGCGTTGGAAAGCCACCGAATTTCGCCAATTTATTTTGTGTATAGGACCTGTAGTTCTGCGTGACATCATTCCCGATAAAGTGTACAGTAATTTTCTTAGTTTCTCATTCTGTTTTTATTGTTTATCTTCAAAGGTTTGGATTGTACATTATAAGACCTACATTTTCCGTACTTTACTGCATACTCTTAATGAATTTAAACAGATTTACCTTACTACAGATTGTTCCTTTAATGTACATAGAAATTAACATTTATTTGAAGATGTCCACGTGTCTGGACCTTTGTTCAACTATCCTGCTTTCCCATATGAATATTTTCTGTGTGTCTCATGTGATTTCATGCGCTCACCTCGAATGTCATTATCTCAAGTATTTGGTGATTGTGTGAACCCAACTTGTTCCAGTTCTCTAATGCAGCACCAGTGGACCATACTGGTCTCCCTTGTAACAAAACTGTTTCATCCAAACGATTTTTCAGCGTGCGCGGAATTCGAATTAGTAATCAATCACCAAATATTTGGGTCTTATGTGGTGATAGACCCGGGATAATGACAAAGTATGAGACAAATACTGTTCTTTTTGTCCCCTTTCCTAGCTATGAAGATGTTCTTCTTCCTTTTTACCGTCCACGGATTTGCATATGTTCAAAACGGCTCACATCTTTTTAACTCCTGTAACTCGTTCCAAATCTGACATTACTGCAAAGTGTTGTCATTTTATATGTCATGATTGTTCTTTTGTTGTTACCATTTTCATAATAATATAATAACATAATATTAATATAACATAATATATATATTATAATAACATGGTACAGTCAATCTCCTGCTATGTCGCACCCCTGAGAAATCGCATTTTCCAATATCTTCCCACTTTTTCGAAAACCCAAACCAATCGTATGCTTAATAACGTAGTTTCTGACTATGCGATGTCGCACCCCCCAATATGTCGCAGTTCCTGGTACGTACTCAGTCGTTGACCGATGTTCGGGACGACCACTGACCATCCACCCTGAAATGTCGCACTCAACCAATGGCGTTGCACCTAGTGTGACGCATCCGTGGCACTGTTCACTGATTGGATAATCCCAGCGAGCAAGTCACACCGATGCAAGCGATCGGTGACAGTGTCATTTGACGTCAAAATGTGCAAGCGCCTATCGATTAGAGAGAAGCAGAATGTGTTGGAAATGATGAAACAGCTAGGTGCAACTCANTTGTATCCCATCGAACGACTATCGGGGAATTTTTGAACGCTGGCGCATCTGAGGGAAGGTGCCACCTGAAAATCAACGAACAGTTCAAGGCAGTGAATTACGCAACTTTGGCTTGGTTTACCGCTGTAAGGGAAAAGCACGGAGAGTTCCCTATGGTGGAGAGCATCGTACGTAAGAAGGCAATCCAGATAGCACAAAGATTGTATCATAATGACTTCAAGGCTTCCCAAGGTTAGTTTCGCTCTTGGTCAGACAGATATGGTATTCAATCGTACAAAGTAAGAAACAAGCAACTCACATGCATTAATTTATAGGTCTGTGGCGAAAGTCTAGTAGTACCACGTGATGCAGTGGATGAGTTTCGAGCGGGGTTGCCGCAGTTGATACAAGGATATGCTGACTGTGATATTTTCAATGTAGATGAAACAGCTTTGTATTACAGGCAGCTCCCAGAAAGAACATTGAGTCTGAAAGGAAAGACAGTTTCTGAGTCCAAGAAATCCAAAGAGAGTCACGTTACTGCTTTGTGGGAGCATGACTGGAGAAAAGTTATCAACGTTGGTGATTGGAAAGTTTCAAACTCCACGATACCTCCGGGGTGTAGATAGAAAAAAGCCTTCCATGCAGTTATAATTATACATGGAACGCATGGATGACCTCGACGTTATTTCACAGTTGGCTGTCCGATGTCAACCGAAAAATGGTTTCTCAAAGACAATCTATCTTACTATTTATGGACAACGCCCCTTGCCATAACCAAGCCGCAGTATTTTCCAATGTCAAATTGGTCTTTCAAATGTTGGTTTCGGAAACATTTACAGGAATATGTTTTGCCTTTGATCGAAGATGAGCAACGTATCATGAAAAGCGAGGTGGACATTCTCATGGCCATGCATCTGGTCAAGAAAGCTTGGGTGTCTGCGCACCCAGACGTGCTGATCAACGCTTTCATGAAAGCAGGGTTCAAATCCACATTGATTCAGCCGGTGAAGCAGCCACCAGAGGATAAATGCGATCTGATCGAGGACTTTACACATTATGTATCTATTGATGACCTCTATGAAGAATAAATAGCCTGTTTGGAATATGATTAGGAAGAAGTGGGTTATTTAAAATTTCTGTATCAAGTCTCTTTTTAGTCATTAGATGAATTCGTTTCGCATCAAGTTAAGCATGGCAAAGAAGATGACGAATGTGACGCAGTGAATGCGCCGGAAGTTATCTCAATCCGAGAGGCGCAGAAGTTATTGGATCAATTGAAGCTCTTTGCCTTGGCTAATGCTCGGTGTTCGGGTCGATTATTGGAGTGTACCATTGATTTAAACAGCGCGTTTGTTGATTTCCAATGGAAAGCCAAGCTTAGACAGACGACGATTTATGACTTTGCTAAAAATACATGTTTCTAATCTGCGAAGTTTTTTTTGCTATTCTGTGGGACACTGCCCTGAAATGTGAGGCACCCGAATGTGGTCGTTTTTTCTACAGTGGTCACCAAAGCCGCGGTCATTCGGTCTATCGATGGGCCCTGTAGCATTAACGGGTGAACGATATTCGCGACTGACTGGTAAGCGGGTGAGTGGATTGGGATGTGAGATCCGAACGATCGATAAACACCGTCACGCGGACGCGCCTGTGTGAATGAATGAACGATACTCTCACTTGACCTAGAGCACCGATTAAATTAGACAGGTCACCTGCCAAAGGTCATCGTAACCCGGGTCTAAGGAGAGTTTGTGAGATGCACTTTTTGCTTGTAGTGATTCTCTGCCAACACTTAGACAGCATCAGATTAGGAATCTGTCCTTCTCCTGTGTCGGCCCGAAAATAACACGACCGATTGGGTTCATTTATCGTTCGGTCCAATGGTTCAGCCGCAACAAGGGCCCCGGTGCTTACCCAGCTAACCCGAGCGAGAAACCACACCACACACAACAGAAGCGAACGAACGAACAAATGTCTACAGAGGTTAATGATACACATTTTTCAATAGAAAATCATGAGTAGATTGCACAACGAACAATCAGTATGAATATGGGAAAGAAGTCCATGTTCTAAATATACTTCGTAACAGATATTTCACTCGTTTTAGATGTCATTTCCCGCTGTTTATTCGAACTGGTTCATCTTTATTTTCCTCGAATGGGTTAATAATGATGTGATTATTATAGATAAAACAGTTGTACATTATCGTGGAAGTCATATGATCAATTGTGTGGTTAGCCTAACGTTGCAACAGAATGGAGGAATATGTGGAATTAATATGGGATAATTGGNTTCGGGATAACTAGACACAGAATTGAAAAGGGCTGAATGCCGGATGCGTCATAAAATATTCAAATTTCTGCGATATATACAGGCTACGCAGGACGGTAGATCTAAATTCCGTTATAAGAGTTTATAATCGTAACTATTGTGAACAACTAACGGGATTAACGTACTTTTCATCGATCCGGTTTATTTTGTCACAAAACCGTCAACGGATTTTTATATTACTGATTAGCACCTACTACTAGTGACCCTGCTATGTCGCAGTTCCTGACTTTTACCCACCTTTTCGAATTCCCGAGGGGTGCGACATGGCGGAGATTGGCTTTATGGTAGGAATTTAATTGGT